CCAACAAGCCTGTTGTAAGAGTCGACTAACTGGTCCTTTGAAGTCAGAGTACATCCGCCTGAGAGGCAAGGAACCAACAGTCTGCATACAAATAAGTCAGATATGTAAAACAGATGTGCACACAACACTCGGGTTCTTAAACAAGACTAAGATTCAGAGGTTGACAAACACAGAGAATGTTCTGCCTGAGTTACAGCCAGTAAACACAAAGAAGATGACTTAATCAGTTATAGCGACACCATGGGAGTTGTAACGGTATAGCAGCTAGATGCTCGCCTTCTGATCTGAAGGTCAAGGGTTCAGGTCCTGATAGAACCTGACTTTAAAAAAAAATTACCCTGGCTCCCAGGTCGACACAGCTTTGAAGGGCTCCGCCACAACGACTCCCGCGCATGTATATATGTGTGTGTGTGCGCGTGCCTCTGTGTGTGTATATATATATATATATATATACAGGAGTTGTTATGACTTTAGCAAATAGATGTCCAACTGCGGATGGGAAGGTCATGGGTTCGCGCCCTGACGGAGCCGGACTTAAATTTAAAAAAAAATGAACTTGACTCCAAGGTTGACCCAGCCTTGAGTGGGTACCAGGTGCAGACCCTGGAAGTAAAAGGCAGCAGGAATGATGCTAACCACATCACCCACCAAGTGCCAATTGGTCGATAAAAAAATATAGGTCTAGCCCTATATTCCCAATACGTTTAAAGGCGTGGAAAGGGGTTTTTTACTTTACTATATATACACACCACACACACACATAAAAGGAGCATTCATTTGAAACCTGGTATAATGGCTTTTTTACTAAAGCAGGAAAGAAACATCAAAATGTGTGGCAGAATTCAACAAAGCATTCATTTTGAATGATTTATGTACCCCGGGTTGCTCAAAGTCACTTTAGGCAATCAGGCAAGCACCTCACTGCTCAGATAGGTGGCAAATGCCATCCTAAAAATTGTGGTTTCTCACTGAACTAAGTGTTTACCACGTTCACTACACCAGTATGAAATCGTTGCCTCGCGAGAGCTTTTTTTAAAAGGCCCAAACAAATTAAAATCACATGTGACAAATCAAGACTATAGACTTGATGTTGCAGAATAACCAATATGTGAACACCATTATTGTACAATAAAATCCCTGCTGGAGAAAGCAGGCTGGGATGTTTATTCTTGGTGACTTGATACAGCTTGTCCAGTGTTTCCAAACCATGGGTAGAGCTGACACTGGGGTCTTTCCAACAATAGCCATTTATGATGTATACACTCAGTATAACTGTATCGGTGTCTGTGGCTAAGGCGCTGCGAACGAGCTTCATAATACCGGGTTCAATCCTAGCTGCGGGCCTTGTGCTGATTTCGATAGTGGTATCGAGACACCGGCCGTCCAGAAAGCAATGGCAAACTACTTAATGGTAAACTTGACTAGAAAAACCGCAACAGCCAAAAAATGTTGGGGTTGGTTCTGTAACACCCTGTAAAGGATACACAACTAACTTATAACCGTATGACAACAACGTGGAGGAGACAAGCAGAGTTCTTTGGTCATGTGATGAGAAAAGGAGCACTAGAAAATCTGCGATGACTGATAAGATCACTAATCGAAGAGGCAGAGGCAGACCAAGAGAGATGATGGCTGATGGCTTAAGACAGTGTCATGGAGGAATACCAGTGGAACTGATCCAGAACATGAAAGACTGAGATCTGTGGAGATGCATGAACGCCTATGCCAGCTGGCAAGGCACTTGATGATGATGATAACCGTATGAAGAGAAACCTGTGACTTGAATGTGTTTTTGTGTGGCTACTGTGACCCAGCAGCTTCCACTGCTTGCTCTCTCTCTCTTCTGCTGCTTGAATCAAAGTGTTGACATCATGATTCATCACCTACCACTGTACCGAAGTGAAATGCATCATCCTCTGCTGTGTAACACAGCAAAAGTTTCAAATACCATCCTATGAATTCTTTCTTTTGGTAGTTGGTCGACATCTATAGTAACCACTGTGAACACACCTTCCAATACTGCAGCTTCTTATCAAAAACCTTTTGAATGTTTCCACCGACACATCACATTCTTTTGCTAGTGAATATGCTTCAACAACATTTTGCATGTATTGCTGCATCAGTTTTGGCAATGACTTTTTCCGGTTGCAACAATATGTATTGGACCCGGCTGTGCAAGAACTGCTGTGAACTCATGTCTTTTCTGTAACATTTCTGCCCAGTGTGCCACTATTATTTTCGATATACATTTGTTAATGTATACTGCCTGCATTCTTCGATGAATGTCCACTGATCAACATTCTTCAAATGAAAAAAAAAAAAACAATCACATATCTTTGAGCTTCTTTAGGCAGGTTTTGGATCAACATGGCTATTTCTAACTTTAGAAAAAGAACATTGTAAATCCTTAACAGGACGTTGTTTATCCTTTAGATGACATTGTATGTCCAATACAGGATGTTGTATATCCTTTACAGGACATTGTATATCCTTTACAGAATGATGTATATCCTTTACAGGACATTGTATATCCTTTACAGAATGATGTATATCCTTTACAAGACATTGTATATCCATTACAGGATGTTGTATATCCTTTACAGGACATTGCATATTCATTACAGGATGTTGTATATCCTTTACAGGACATTGTATATCCTTTACAGGACATTGTATATCCTTTACAGGACATTGTATATCCTTTACAGGACACTGTATTTACTTTACAGGATGGTGTATATTCTTTACAGGACATTGCATATTCATTACAGGATGTTGTATATCCTTTACAGGACATTGCATATTCATTACAGGATGTTGTATATTCTTTACAGGACATTGTATATCCTTTACAGGACATTGTATATCCTTTACAGGACACTGTATATCCTTTACAGGACATTGTATATCCTTTACAGGACATTGTATATCCTTTACAGGACATTGTATATCCTTTACAGGACATTGCATATTCATTACAGGATGTTGTATATTCTTTACAGGACATTGTATATCCTTTACAGGACATTGTATATCCTTTACAGGACACTGTATTTACTTTACAGGACATTGTATATCCTTTACAGGATGGTGTATATTCTTTACAGGACGTCATATATCCTTTACAGGATGTAGGATGTTGTATATCATTTACAGGACCTTGTAGAACCAAATCCCAGCACTTTTTGGCTTTCTGCAATTTTACTTGTAGTTTTCCACTGCTTACTGAATGGCTGGATCCTGTTAACAATGTCAAAATTAAAGCAAAGAGGCCTGCTGCCAATTCTTTTGCTTATGGCAAACATAGACAAAAGTAAACAATATATATATATATATATATATAATTATATATACACACACAACACACACACAAACACTGTGTGTGCGTGTATGTATGTATGTGTGTGTATATTTAGGTATGTATGTGTGCATGTGTGTGTATGTATGTAGGTAGGTAAGCATGTAGGTACATAAGTATACATACTCATAAAGTTGGAATCTTGAGGCATCTGCTGCTGGCGAGAAGTCTATAGATTTAAAAACAAACCATAAAAGGGCACAATTAGCAAAAATGCCTCTATAGATCTTAGATATTAAATGTGAGAACAACTGACTCCAACACACGCAAGAGGCGATTAAGGAAGGCTGATGTGCAACTGGCTGATTCCCCCTAGCTGATTTCTTTCTTCTTGTCCTCCAGCTGTCTCTTTGAAATGTTGCAGGCAGATGTGAGGATCTTCTGTATGCTCCGTCTAATGATTAGTATAAGCTGATCCCATTGTTGTGCAACCATAGAGAAAGCCGGTTCTCCCAACTTTTACAAGTTTATTGATGACACAAAACATAGAAGAAAATTAGTAACCACGGAAGTAAGGTGTCTGAGAAAAGCTGTAGAAGTGGCCAGATAATATAAAAATCAGGAATGAGATCATACGAGATAAAGCTGGCACAGAACCAATTCTACATTACATAGAAAGACAACAAATCAAATAGTTTGCCCACTTGGAGAGAATGTCTTCCGATGCTATACTATTCAAGGCATGTACAAAAAGAGGAGAGTGGCGCAGAGCAAGAGGTAGACCGAGAACAATATGGAAGGATAACATCAGAGAAACTCTACAATGCTACGATGTGTCTTTGGTCGAAGCAGCCAGAAAAGCACGAAACAGGACCTTATATCTCCCTCGACACCTGATGCGGTAAAAGAGGACGTAAAGACGATGACACAACATCTCTAGGCAGTAGCAATATGCCTATATAGTAGCTCTGGCACTGGTTGCAACTATAAAGTGAGCAGACATCATCATCCTTAGTTTTTGAGAAAACAAAACAAAAATCACCTTCAACCAGGTGTTGTCAAAAAACCTCAAAAAAGGAGCTTTGGGTTATAATTGTGACTGTGTTGACCTACACTGGGTTTGTGTGACATATTGAGTGACTTAGTGTCCCGTCCCTATCTGTTTCTTGTTGTCATTTCCTGCTCATCCAGGTCTGGTCCTTAGCCCTGCTATGGGTGTGGTGTCTTTTACCTGAGCACCCACCTGTTGTTTTGCCTTTACTGAAGTTTTTGCATGTTTCTTGACTATTCTTCTGTATTGATTGTTCCTTTTTATTTTCTGTCCTTATTATGTGTTTTTATTTGTGGTCCAAGTCCGTTTGTTTCTTCTTGCTCTAGGTTTATCGGGGGTGTTCCTTATTCAGTCACTGACTCCCGAGTCTGGCTTCTTGTATAAATGTCCTTGGCTGTGGGTTTTCCTGTTCCAGTGGATTCAAATGTATAGATGTTATGGGTTTAATCCCCCCCCCCCCCCCTCTATTATTTGGGGTGAGAGAGGGGGAATCTACTTTTTTTTTCTGGTCATTGCGACCACCTAGTAAATAAGTAATATATTCATACTATTATGGAGTACTGCATCAACTACTATTTTAGGTCAGAGTGATGACTCAATGACCCGGAAGGCCATGATAATTTGACAAATCTCTTCAGCAGGGGCTTGAACCAATGATCCCAGGGCTGAGAGGTTAGTGCATAGTTCCCATACTAATACTGAAATAGTAATTTGCAGCTTTAAAGGTCCCAGGAAGTTAGTATCCTTCAGATAGTTTTTTACAGGGCAAGCAGGTGTTTTGGGAAATAAACATACAGATAGACTGGCTGGTTCTGCACCACTGGATGGTGAATGGATGCATGGCAAGCTAGATGTGGTCAAGGCTCTAGGGAAGCAAGTCAACAACACAGATGCACAAACAAATCATTAATCTTGGCAGAACAGTGCAGTGGGGAGTGACCACGGATCTAAGTGACACTCCACTCTTACGAAAGGCAAGACTATCAAATAATTAAACTTTTACTGGTTCCATCGAAATTAGAAATCTACTAAGGTGGCCAAAGACGGGCACCAAGTGCTTAAAGGAATGTGCTGTGGTGTCATTTCTCGACTCAACAATTCAACAGGACAAAAAATATGTTTTTGAGGTTTTTAACAATGGATCAACATCATGGCTCACAGGCAGCACAGTGCACAGGCTCTGTAGCACGGGCGAGGATCCTGAAATACTGTGGTTAGATTTTTAACTGAAAATTTTGCCTGGGGCAGCGCTAGGCTACTATTTTCTAACTGCCAAGAGATTTTTTACATGTGCAACAATGCACCCGGGCGTCCGATCTCACTACCCAGAGACCAGGGAGAATTACTACAAGTCCAAGTTCACATGAAAAAAAATCCCCGCCCTCACTGGGGATTGAACCCGGAACCTCTAGCACTCGAGGCAGACACCATGCCTCGAAACCATGCAGCACCTTCAAATAAATAAGTAAAAATAAGTAAAGGATGCTCTTCCACACCTTCAGGTGTACTGGGCGTATAGGGTTAGACCTATATTTGAATCGACCAATAGGCACTCGGTGGGTGATGCGATCAACATCAGTTTTTACTCCCCAGGATTTTACCTAGTACACTCTCAAGGCTGGGGGTGCCCATGGTGTAGTGGCTAGATTTCCTGCGGACTGAAAGGTCGTGCATTCAGATCCTGATGGTGGAAACAACCTTGAATGGGTACCAGGTGGAGCCTTGGGAAGTAAATTGGTCTATACAATACAGGTCTAGCTCTATATGCTGAATGGGCCTGAAAGCGTGGAAAAGGGTCCTTTACTTTCCTTAAATTGGGTCGATTTGGGAGCTAGGGTATTTTTTTTTTAACCCATGACCTTCAGATGCACAGACGAGCATCTAGCCATCACACCACAGCGGCCCCCAAAGTGAAAGTTGTTGTTTGTTTTAGTATCCAGAAGCCATGAGCTGTTAACCCTTAGGCTCGGTATTATGGATATCGCAATCTTTCAGCCTTGATTCCATTGTAAATACCGTAAATCTGGGAGAAATGTGGCTTTTCTGCCCACCCCCGGGAGTGAACCCGGACCACAAGGAGTTTGTCACCCGGTCTCCACACAATACGGTTTAGCCAACTACGCCAGAGAGCTGGGCCAAAGTGAAAGTACAAGGCACAAGGGGCATCCGAAGCTCGACATCTGTACAGGCCAATGACATCAGATAAAAACACCAATCAAGACAAATACAAAGAACCAAAGTTCACAACTGACCATCTGAGACATCATGTTGCCAGAACCTGCTGTTGTTGACTGTGTTTGTAATTTTGTGGCCTGCTATACAAATAAAAAAAGAAACATAATTTTTACTATTGAAAAAAAAAAAAAAGAAAAAAAAATTCTGTTATCTGGTTTATTTAAAAGATACTCTCTGTGTGGGTCCCGGAACACCATATTAGTTAGGTGGCAGTGAGTCGGTTTACACCCCCCCCCCCCTCAAGGGGCTCTGCAACCCACACAGCGAAGTCATCAGTCTGATTGAAGGGATACAACAGGAACAAACAAATGTACAAGAACTAGTTTATAAAAGTTAAAAAAAATATGTAAAGATCCCTTTTCACGTCTTTAGGCGCATCGGGCATATGGAAAGTGCACTCCTATTTTTTACAGACCAATCGGTACTAGGTGGGTAATGTGGTCAGCATTACGCCAGCTGTCTTTACTTATCCAAGGGGATAAATCCTGGTACCAATTTTAGGCTGGGTGGACCTGCAAAACCCCATTCTTCTGCCTTTCTAGCCCTCAATGAAGCATTGGCCCTCAACCAACTCACCCCAAGTCATTCTATCCTTTGCTATCGCATGCAGCTCTCCCCATGTCCTCTCCATCTTTTTAACTTCATTCTCAAGCTTCCTTCTCCATGTGTTTTTTTGGCCTTCCTTTATTCCTGTACCCCAGTGGGTTCCAGTGCAAAGATATTTTAGTTATATTGTTCTCCGGTTTTCTCAATGTGTGTCCTGTCCAGCACCAGCATCTTTTCTTCACCTCTTGGTCCACTGGAACTTGCTTAGTTCTCTCCCAAAGCTCTACATTAGTGATTCTATCATATCATTTAATTCCCTCTATTCTGCACAAGCACCAGTTAATGAATGTCTGTAGTTTATTGGTAATTGCCTTAGTTGTTCTCCATGTTTCCGCTCCACATAAAAGTACTGATTTAACATTAGAATTAAACATTTTAAGTTTGGTATTTCTAGTATTTAGTATTTCTCCCCATACCATGATAAAAATCCACGCAGCCAGCAGTGGGTTTCAATTGCTGTACATTGGAATTACGAGTCGGACTCACAATGCCTAAGCCACAGACGCCACTAATTTATAAAAGAAGTTAAATGATCTCAATGAAAAATATGATCAACGCTCCACTATTCTGTAAATAAAGTACAATGATTTGACTGTAAATAGAGACGGTAGACACACAGACAGAACGGATGGTAAAACTAGTAAACTTTATTTTGAGTCACAAATTCAGCACCAAAGACAGTCTTACATTCAACCCTTGCAAACACTCATCTTTCATGCAGTCTTTTCCCGTTGTCCCCATGTGGAACACACTAATTTTGTTGTTACTCTGAAGCCCCACCCTGGTTACTGCCAGGGGGCCCTAATATAACTCAACCAATGGGTAGAATGGGGTTTTTGAGACCTGTCCCCGGGTGAACCATCCAAATGGTGGTACTTTGCCTCAATGTTATCGCTCAGTGTGATGTCCTGGTGGGGTAATACAGTCTCATCTTTCACAAAGCAATCATGTTATCTGTATTTTATATACATATTGCAATAAACATAAAATAAATGTCAAGTAAAAAACATAAAAGAGTCAATGGCATACTGATAACTATATATTATATGCTCATATCCTATAGAAAGCTGCATTTAATGTTATCCATTTGTTTTTGGTTGCCAACACAGCTTGTGTGGGTTGTGGGAAAGGTCGCTTACAGCCGTGGTTGGATTTCATGGATGCAGTGAACAAGGGATCGTTGGTCCATACATTCTGTGTGCAACAGTTGGTGTTAAGCAAGTCGATCCAATCGGTTGTTTCAGCAGGCTGGCATCAATAAACACCCTGCATCGGAGCAATTCAACTGAGCTTACTCAGGGGTCATAGTTCACAGGCCCCACCCAGCACTGAAAGATGACCAATACAATATATCTGGCGATGATCCCTGGGCCACTTGCTAGGCTTCCGTGGGCCACCAGGTGAATAACCCTGCCCTATGTGCTGGTTTCCCCAGGCGACTTTACTCTTGGTTTGGTGACTTTCAGTAGTCCTTCAATTCACCAGACCTCACTGCAGCAAAGTATATTTACGCGGGTATTTGAAATCTAGATTTTCCACTGACACACTCCCGGACATCACCAGTGTTAACACATGCAGTTCATAGGGAGACTGCAAATGTTACACAGGACTCTCTACATCATGCCATGGCAAGTGTACCTGTCTTGATTGTCATGGAGGACATCTCCAAGATGTTGTATTTGAGACATGAGACCGGTTTAGGACATCATCTCCAAGATGTATTTAAGACATGAGGCCTATTTAGGACATCTCCAAGATGTTGTATTCAAGACATGAGACCGGTTTAGGACATCATCTCCAAGATGTATTTAAGACATGAGGCCTGTTTAGGACATCTCCAAGATGTTGTATTCAAGACATGAGACCGGTTTAGGACATCATCTCCAAGATGTATTTAAGACATGAGGCCTGTTTAGGACATCTCCAAGATGTTGTATTCAAGACATGAGGCCTGTTTAGGACATCATCTCTAAGATGTATTTAAGACATGAGGCCTGTTTAGGATATCTCCAAGATGTTGTATTTAAGACATAAGGCCTGTTTAGGACATCTCCAAGATGTTGTATTCAAGACATGAGGCCTGTTTAGGACATCATCTCTAAGATGTTGTATTTGAGACATGAGGCCTGTTGAGGACATCTCCAAGATGTTGTATTTAAGACATGAGGCCTGTTGAGGACATCTCCAAGATGTTGTATATAAGACATGAGGCCTGTTTAGGACATCATCTCCAAGATGTTGTATTTAAGACATGAGGCCTGTTGAGGACATCTCCAAGATGTTGTATTTAAGACATGAGGCCTGTTTAGGATATCTCCAAGATGTTGTATTTAAGACATGAGGCCTGTTTAGGACATCTCCAAGATGTTGTATTTAAAACATGAGGCCTGTTTAGGACATCATCTCTAAGATGTTGTATTTAAGACATGAGGCCTGTTTAGGATATCTCCAAGATGTTGTATTTAAGACATGAGGCCTGTTGAGGACATCTCCAAGATGTTGTATTTAAGACATGAGGTCTGTTTAGGACATCTCCAAGATGTTGTATTCAAGACATGAGGCCTGTTTAGGACATCATCTCCAAGATGTTGTATTTAAGACATGAGGCCTGTTGAGGACATCTTCAAGATGTTGTATTTAAGACATGAGGCCTGTTTAGGACATCATCTCCAAGATGTTGTATTCAAGACATGAGGTCTGTTCTATGAGTCCAAGACAATGACTGACTAAATCATGTTCACTTGTGTTTACTGTTGTATACTTCCTACTTTCAAAATGAGTAACATTAAATGTCGCACCCTGTAGACACTTACAGATAAGTAGGCAGCCTGGCAGACAGAGATCAAAGACATATGACATAAAACAAAGAACATGACAGTTGCAAAACCACAGAAGCCTTTCACATCACTGACCTGAGGTCTTGTATGGACCATCATGCCTGGCTTGCCAACACTACCAGGTAAGCCGGGGGCACCCTGCACCCCGGAAGCCCCCACCATGGAGTCCATCTGGGGCATGATTCCTGAGGCAGCCCCAGATGATGGGGTGTTGTTGTTCTGTGAGATATTCATAGAGGGCTGGACTGGGTTTGGAGACTGCTGCATTCCTTGCTGTGGGGAGGCTTGCTGTAGACCTGTGAGAATAATTATGCTAGTAGAGAAAAGGATGACTGCCTTCTTGTCTGTTGTCTGTGTGTGTTTATCTGTCTGTCCACTGCTTACTAAGAATTAGTGAAAATTACCACCACAGCACACATTCATGGTTGCTCCAACCTCCTACTTAAATCTCCCCAAAACAAAAACTAGGTGTCATTCAGATAAATGGAATACCACTAAGAGAGGATAAGGAGCCCACATAGCTCGGAGTCACGTTTGATGATAGGATAACATGGAGAAAACACATCAACAAGGCAGCAACCAAAGCCAGAAGTAAGAAAGCTATCCGAAGAAAACTAAGTGGAAAAACATGGGGCGCAAACGGGAAAATACTTTGGAGAGTTTTTCAACAAAGTGTACGACCAAACTTTGAATACGGGTAAACTACAAATGTTACACAAGCAGAAATGAAGGAGCAGGCATGTACACTGAGCACCTAAATAATGCCCGGTATAAAGCCAAACTACCTACAGGAAAGTACTGTCACAGCTATGATGCAGAAGCTCAAGCCATTAAAACAGCAGCAGCGAAACTTAAATATACATCATATTTTACAACTCGTATTCAAAATGGATGCAAGAGCAGTACTTCAGGCACTCCAATCTTGAAAACTACCTGGTATACGAACACTACTATCCAAACTAGGCAACTGGTGTAAGGTAACTATGCAATAGATACCATCCCACTGTGGAATTCCTGGAAATGAAAGAGCTGATAAACTAGCTAAGGAAGGTGCAAATTAAGAACAACCTGGCGAACGTCTCTTATCAACAAAAGAAGAGAATAATCAAATCTTCAGAAAGCCACCGAAACTGGCACAAGACGATTACCATATTATGGACAGACCAGAGCAAGTTATTATTCTACGCCTTAGAACAGGACACAATCGACTTCGCAGCCACATGTATACAAAATTTAAAATCAGTGAATCAGCCATGTGCACAGTTGGACTGGCACCTGAGACAACAGATCATGTTCTCTAAGACTGTCCCTAATACAACAAATCAAGGCAAAACTTTTGGCCAAGACAAACACCGGTGAAGAAGAAGAAAATCTCCACAAGTATCAAATGACTGATGATGTTTCACTCTACCTATTTACCTACCAACGCATCCAGCTAGTCAGCCATACTTCTCTTTATCTTTTTTCTTTGAGTGGCATATGTGTGCATGAGCTTGTGTGTCAGTCCACCTTTGTGTTAATCTCATTCATATTTGCATGCCTATCTACTGGCTGTATGTTTCTTCATCAATCTATAAAATGTTTTATACATCGATTGTCTTTCACACACACACCCATGCCACACATATACTCAGATATAATGTGAGAGGGATGGACATGGAACAGCTTTCATGTTCCCTGTGTTGGTTCCAGGAGCATGCTGTCAAAGTTGAATCAGGGGCGTTTATTTCAAAGTCCCAGTGAATCTGACTGATAGGCGGGCAACCAACAGTCTGCTTACAAATAAGTCAGATCTGTAAAATGGATGGTCATGTAAAAATCCAGTCCGAAACTGGTTGAACCGTCAGAACTTTCTGTAGTAGTTTACAGCCGGTGAGCGAGGAGAAAAAGAAGATACATCAGGTGAACCTGTTGAACATTATTCCCTGTTTGCCAGGGAAGAAAATCTGTCAATAAATGCATGAAATCAGGCAGATGTGTCAGCAAAAAGACATAAATATTGCAGCCACACTGTAAACAAACACAATGCAATTATGCCCTCTGATTAACAAAGATTTCCTGTTGGATAAAGAACACCTAATGTGTGAGTGAACTGATTCCCCAGGACAAGGACACAGCAAGTGATGTGGTCATCAGAACAAGTTTTGATGGCAGTGACAGAAATATCTCCTCCATCTAGTCACACCAATTTTCACAGCGATTTTAATTTATCCTGTGGCAAAAAAAAAATATAAAAAAATACGGACACCCTTCATAATCTGAGCATCAAGGAGAACTGGCTTACAGACAGCATCCTGTCTCAAAAGCTGAGGTATTCTGACCATGTAAAATGTCATGACAGCCTGGAGAAAACGGAGGTGGAGGGTAAAGTTTCCAGAAGATGAGGCAGAGACAGACCTCTGTGAAAGTGGCTGCAAGACAATGATGATGCACTAGCTATGAAAGCTCATAGAGGTGGAAAACTGGCTAGAGAAAGAGAGAGTTTCAGGCGTGCATGAAGATAGCAGTGTTTTGTACAGGACCTGCTGAATGATAAGATGAGGAGAGTTCAGAGAACTATACTGTGCTAACTGATCAGACTATAACATGTTGCTTTAGAACAGTGGTCTTCAACCTTTCTTCAGGTCTTGCCCCCCCCCCCCCCACCCCCGAGTTGAAGGCAAGATCTCCCACCCCCCTTGAGTATAAGGCAAGATCCCCACCCCCCTTGAGTATAAAGCAAGATCTCCCCACCCCCCTTGAGTATAAAGCAAGATCTCCCCACCCACCTTGAGTATAAGGCAAGATTTCCCCACCCCCCTTGAGTATAAAGCAAGATCTCCCCACCCACCTTGAGTATAAGGCAAGATCCCCTACCCTCCTTGAGTATAAGGCAAGATCCCCCACCCCTTGATATAAGGCCCCCCCCCCCTGAGTATAAGGCAAGATCCCCCACCCTCCCTGAGTATAAGGCAAGATGTCCCCCCCCACTGAGTATAAGGCAAGATTTCCCCACCCACCTTGAGTATAAGGCAAGATTTCCCCACCCACCTTGAGTATAAGGCAAGATGTCCCCACCCACCTTGAGTATAAGGCAAGATTTCCCCACCCACCTTGAGTATAAGGCAAGATTTCCCCACCCACCTTGAGTATAAGGCAAGATCCCCCACCCACCTTGAGTATAAGGCAAGATTTCCCCACCCACCTTGAGTATAAGGCAAGATTTCCCCACCCACCTTGAGTATAAGGCAAGATTTCCCCACCCACCTTGAGTATAAGGCAAGATGTCCTAACCACCTTGAGTATAAGGCAAGATCTCCTGAAGTATATGGCATGAACCCCTCCCCCTCGCTAATAAAATGTGATTTAAAAAGAAAAGAAAAAGACAATAGATTCCACAACAAGCGAAATGGACAGTATGGAGATACGTTTTGGTCAGAATGTGTTTGCGCTTGTGTTATCATATTAATAGGATTTTTAACTGTGGATATATAAACTGCATTAGAAAACAAACAACAACAAAAAACAAAAAAACAAATGTCCTTGGCTTTTTGTTTGAAAAATAGTTTGAAAAATACTGTAACAATTTTATTTATAGTAAAACTGAAATAATAATATAACGATTATTCAGTCAGTCAGTAAGTAGCATGTCCTTTGCAGAACATTGCCCCCGTAACAACTCTCCGGAAAACTTCTCGATCACAAGCAAATGTCCCGCGTCCGATACACCCATCTGGAGATCATCAGCCACATCCTGTACCCATCTTCTCTTTGGCCTCCTTTTTCCCTCTCTTCCCAGGCATATACCCCTACATTATTGTTCTCTCTAAACTTTCGTGGCGTTTTAAGTGACTAAAATATTTCAATTTTCTGTGTTTTATCGTCTTTAATAACGGAGTATTACAAGCACAAATACAGTCAATTTCAAAACTGCTAGAACAGGGTGGATGTGACTGCTATAGAATGAGAAGAGTTCACTACTACTTACCTGTCTGATTCAGTGGCTTCTTAAATGTGTCTGTCTTTCCCATTCCTGCATCTGTGACCAAGGACGGACTGGGCACTATGGATATTCAACAAATGTGGTATATATGAGAATCACTGTCGGTAATCATCATCATGTAGCTGGTCCTTTGCTGAACGTCGCTCTCATCCGGGTCTGCGTGAAAAAAAACTCAGTCTCTCGCTAGCTCTCCCATCTAGTGTACTTTATATCCTGTGCCCATCTTCATGTTGGTCGTCCTCTGCCTCTACTTCCTGGTACCAGGCCTTCTGCTATTATTTTTTTTCTAATTCAATGAAATGATATGTGTGATTAAAACTTTAAAAAAAAAACCAAATATGCAAATGTCCCGTTACCAAGACTTTGCAACATGTGATGAGCATATACTTTTACAGACCAATCTGCGCTCAACTGGGTATGTCGTCAACATCAAGTTAGCTACCCTTCTGTCCCTTAAAAATCTCTTTAAATGACCTTTTTCAAAACCATCCTAGGGGGTTGAAGCCCTAGACCACCGACCAGACAGGCAAGCATGAAGTCCACAGCAATGACACGGCCGTAAAATTACAAAAACAAAAAATCATCATAACTTTATTTTCTTGCAGATTCTTTGTTTATATAGAAAGGATATTCATCTCTAAATACAACTGGAGCAAAGAATTATTTGCTTTCCCTTCCTTTGACTATGATAAATATGGTTTTGTTGACTTGGCTGTGGGAAGACAAGTGGCTTCATCTGAGATTACTATGACAAAGTGATGACATCACAATTGCTTTGAATGCTATTTTGTTTTTACTCATAAAGATACCTCAAAACAAATTTTGTATGGTGTATATAGTCATACCCCTCCCCCTCCCCCCATGTCTATGCTCTATGCATTTACAGCCAGTACCATAGCAGAGGCAATTTACGGTCCAATATGGAGGATTAGGCAAGGCAGAAGTTATTTTTGCTTCTGACAGCGCTTTCCTAATGTGTTTCCACATATGGATTGAAGTCTACAGTTTTGCTGCCTAAGCCACTGAGATGACTGCTTGGTGCTGTACTGCGAGCAGTGTTTTTTTTTTTTTTTTTTAAATTTGGAATGGCTTTCATTTGTGCCACAGTTGAATCATGGTATTCAATATGGCTGGTAGCCAGTTTACGTGCGGGCTGACAAATTACCTTATGTAATAAGGTATAACCAACTTATTGTGACCAACTTCCATCAACGACAAACTGCATTTCTGGTTGCCACTGTTGGCTTTGGCACCTTTAGCAACTACCATATGCATTTACTGCTTGCATATATTTCTGGATTGTGCCGGGACTAACTGTTTGTTCACCAGTTTTTCAAAAAGGACAGAAAGACATTTCATCTGACTGTCACTAGCACAGGATTGGGGCAAATATGGGGGTGACCCGACTGCAATGAAGTTAAAACCTCAAGTACGACTATGACTGACACAGCTGCCATTGTTCAAAGACTTTCAGTCATCAAAAACCGACAAATATCTGAAAAACCATTTTCTCAGCACGACCGGATTATTTTCTAAAAATTTATTCACATCCAAGCTCTATATTTAGCCAATACAAACTCCCTTCCTAGCCATCACAGCTCTGTAATTAGCCACCGTAACTCTTTATCTAGCATCACAGCTCCATAATTAGCCAGCTTAACTTCATATCTAGACACCTTAACTCCTTGTCTAGCCACCACAGCTCCATAATTAGCTACTGTAACTCCTCATCTGCCCAAAACAGCTCCATCATTAGCCAGCGTAACCACATGTCTAGCCACTACAGCTCCATAATTAGCTACTGTAACTACTTGTCGCCAGTGTGTGACCAGGACCCTCACGGGAAGCAAAGAATAGTGACACTGCACCCTACCAGGCATGTCGTAAGAGGCGACTAAGGGTAGGGTTAGACTTGAGGTTGGCTACCTCATCCTGTAAAAACAAAAGCCACAAAAACCAAACAACCATGGATAAGTCACAAAGAGAAGCAAGTAAAATCCAGCCAACCAAGATGAAGGGAAGCTCTTCAAGTAGGAGAAGTATGACACGGTGTGGAGAAAGCCGTAAGGAGTCCGGATCGTTGACGTACCTCCTCTCAGCTAGGAAAACCTCCAGAATTGGCACCTGGAATGTTAGAACTCTCTATGATATAGAGAGAACAATGGAAGTAGCAAGGCAAATGAACCATTATAAAATTAGTATTTTAGGGTTATGCGAAACTAGATGGACTGGGGCGGGTAAAAGTATTCTAAATTCAGGGGAAACTATTGTGTTCTCAGAACACACAGAGGAAAATTCGCCCCACAGAGAATAAACAGCCCTGATGCTATCCAAAGAAGCAGACAGGGCACTAATAGAATGGGAAGCTGTGGGTTCCAGAATAATAAGAGAATATTTAGAACAGCGAAACAGAAGGTGAATATGTTGGTAATGCAGTGTTACACACCAACAAATGATAAAGGTGCATCTGTTAAGGAAGAATTTTACATGCAGCTTCAAAATATTATAAATAATGAAAGACAGGGCAATTAAAAAGTTTGATGGGTGACCTGAATGCTAAGATAGGATCAGAAAACTCAGGTTATGAAGAAATTATGGGAGGACATGGTCTAGAAGTAATGAATGAAAATGGATAATGGTTCACAAATTGTTGTGCAGGAAACCAGTATGGGAAGTATTTTTTCCCATAAAATAAAATACAAGGCAACATGGGAATCACCAGACCATTAGACAACTAATCAAATTGACCACATATGTTTAAACAAAAAGTTTAGATCATCCCTTTACAATGTTAGGGCTTTCAGAGGTGCCGATGTATTTAATGACCATTTCCTGGTGGTTAGTAAAATCAAGATGAAACTTAAAAGATAAATAACATCTTATAATCATAGAAACCAATATAATGTAGGTTATCTCAGGGATAAAGCAGTTAAGGAACAGTTTTCAGTTACAGTCTCTAATAAGTACCAGGTGTTGCAGCAGATAGCTGAAGATGTCAGCACAGAAGTCTGTTGGGATCAGATCAAAGGAATCTGGAATGAATCTTGCGTAGAAGTTCTTGGCAAGAAAGAATGGAAACATAAAGCATGGATAACACCAGAAACCATTAAACTGATTGAAGAAAGAAAAAGTAAAAGGGCAGACTTAAACAATAGCAAAACTAGAGCTGCTAAAGCTAGAGCTCAGGATAAATACACAGAAGCCAATAAGGAAGTTAGGAGGCATGTAAAGGCAGATAAAGTGAAATATCTAAATGATCTAGCACAAGAAGCAGAGACAGCAGCAGCAAAAGGAAACCTCGGAGAACTTTACAGTAACACAAGGAAATTAGTAGGTTAATATAGTCAGCCAACTGGATCAATCGAAAATAGTCAAGGAAAGGTACTTACTAACACTAAAGATCATATGGACAGATGGGTTGAATATTTTAAAATGCTTTTAAATAGACCAGGCCCAGAGGTTCCCCCAGATATCCAGCCTTTAGAAATGGAACTGGTTATCAACTGTGAGATACCATCCAAAGAGGAAATTAGAAAAGCTATCAATCTTCTCAAGGAAGGAAAGGCGTCATGCCCAGATGGTATCCCAGCTGAAGCCATCAGGACCAACATAAACACATCAACAGAATTGCTACATAGATTATTCAGTAAAGTCTGGGAGACCGAAGAAATACCAGCAGACTGGAGAGAAGGATATCTTGTGAAACTGCCCAAAAAAGGTGATCTACAGGAGTGTGAAAACTATAGAGGAATAATGTTGCTGTCAGTTCCTGGAAAAATATTGAGTAGAATTATTTTGGAAAGATGCTATTGATAAAAAGCTACGAGATGAACAGGCAGGTTTTCGATCAAACAGATCCTGTACTAACCAGATAGCCACATTACGTATTATAATAGAGCAAAGCATTGAACTGAACTCCCTACTTTACACTGGATTTATAGACTATGAAAAAGCATTTGACAGCATTGATAGGGAATCTCTCTGGAAATTGATAGGGCAGTATGGAATCCCTCAGAAAATTTTTTACTTAGTAAAGGCAATAAAAAAAAAAGACTTTAAATGTCGAGTTCTTCATGAGAGAAAGCTAACAGATACATTTAAAATAAAAACAGGGATGTCTTTTGTCGCCTCTCTTATTTTTACTGGCTATAGACTGGATTGTGAAAACAGTAACTGCTAACACCAAGAATGGAATTCAGTGGACCCCTACAAAACAGCTTGATGATCTGGACTTTGCTGATAATATTTCTCTTCTGTCCTATTCACGAAATTAGATGCAAGATAAATTAAATATACTTGATGTGAGATCACAGCAGCTTGGTCTGATAATCCATAAAGGAAAGACAAAGATAGTGAGAATAAATCAAGCAAATAGTAATGTGGTTTCTCTTAATGGCACTCCACTCCAAGACGTACACCTTTTTGGGCAGTAATGAAGATAAAGATGGAGGAACTGATAGAGATATTAAAATAAGAATACAAAAGGCAAGAGGAGCTTTCATAGCACTAGGGAATTTGTTGGGGTCAAAAGAATTAAAAGAAATACTAAAATAAATTTTTTTAATTCCAATGTCAAATCAGTACTTTTGTATGGGGCAGAAACATGGAGAACAACTAAGGCAATTACTAATAAATTACAGACATTCTGCCTGCGCAGAATAGAGGGAATTAAATGGTATGATAAAATAACTAATGTAGAACTTTGGGAGAAAACTAAACAGGCTCCAGTGGACCAAGAGGTGAGGAAAAGATGGTGGGGCTGGATAGGACACACACTGAGAAAACAGGAGAACAGGATAACTAGAATGTCTTTGCATTGGAACCCACATGGGCATAGGAATAAAGGAAGGCCCAAAAACACATTGAGAAGAGAGCTGGAGAATGACGTTAAAAAGATGGGGAGGACACGGGGAGAGCTCCATGTAATGGTGAAGGATAGAACGACTTGGCGTGAGTTGGTTGGGGGCCTGTGCTCCATTGGGGGATAGAAAGGCAAAAGAAGAAGAAGTAACTACTTGTCTAACCACCACAGCTCCATAGTTAGCCCCCTCAACTCCTTATCTAGTCACCTGAGTTCTATAACTAGCCACTGCCACTCTTTATCTAGCCAGCATGTGCATGTTACCACTAACTCCTCCCTATGTGTCCCACAGATGAGAGATCACCTCTGTCTCATGCAGATACAGTACACCCCCAAGTAGGGCCAGTCCAGCCTGTTCATTCCCAAACATACGCACGTGCACCGGGCTACTACACATCCACATGACTCTCACTACCTGCAACACATGGACTGATAACAGGTAAAAAGGAATTTACAGAAGAACCAGTACCTGGAGAGAATGATGCAGCAGGGAGTGTCTGTGAGTGATCGGCACCACTCCAGACTCAGGAGAGAGGTAAGACAAGTAGTTAACCAGAACGAGAACTGTCAGTACAGAGACTTTTTGCTAGCTGCTGAGCACGGAGACAGAGCTAATATGGGCTTTTTCTGAATGCTGTGATGTCGAATCTTACCCAGCTGAACTCTATGTGTGATATAAATAGACATTTTACAAGGGAAATCTTACCATTGATTTGTTCTTTCTCCTTCTCTCCTTTAGGACTGATGGAACGTTCTGTGAATGAATAAACATTTTGTATGATAAGTACTACAGATGAAATCTGTTGTCTTGTTTTAGGATGCAATTTTTATTTTTTTTTAAAGCCCTACCCCGACTGTAGTCGGGGGTCCCTAAAATAACGTAAAGGTTGAACGGGACCTGGGACCTCTCCATGGGTGATCCTCATCCATATGGTGGCACTTGAGTCACCAGATATTTATTGCATGGTAGATGTGTAGGTGGGGTTGAATCTCTCTCATTCATACTTCAGATGAAACAAAATGCACAACACAGTATTCTCTTTAACACAGCAAAAAAAATTAAGGCAGGCCATACACAGACGACATTTCTTCTTTTGGTAATCACATCCATGATTTACACAAACAGTTGAATTCTTATGATAAAACTAACAATCTTTAGAGCTCCTCTTTAGTTTCCATGCAACCTTTAGTATGCGGTTACCTCACTGGGTCAGTATTCCTTTCTTTTGGGCAGCACACACAGACACACAGTCGAGCAGGACACATTCAGCAGTCTGTATGCACAGCACTGAGCTACTGAGACAAAGCCTTGCATATGACTGTTAAACCCTTCACCCACACGACCTAGAAAAAAAAATCTAGCATCTGTACTTTCAATTTTTTTAGATATACCAGAAGAAAAAATTCCTAGAAGGACAACAAATCACACACAAACGCACACAAATTCATCATCAAAGTTTGAAGTTTGAACAATAGACCAACATCATGTCACACAAGTGTAACCCATCAGTGCTCCGTTTTTCTTCTAACTCAAGTCTGAGTCCGAAGAAGCTCAACATAGTGCACAGACTCTGTAGCACCGGCGAGGTTCCTGAAATACTTTGGGTAGATTTTCAACTCTGCGATCGAAACCCACTGCTGGCTGAGTGGATTTTTAATCATAGTATGCGGCTCTGTTGGTCGACCCAGCCTAAAATGGGTACCAGGATGTGTGTTGTGGGGAAGTAAAGACGGCTGATGTAATGCTGACAACAATACTCACCTAGTACTGATTGGTCTGTAAAAATATGGGTGCTCTTCCCATATGCCCGATGCACATAAAGACGTGAAAGGGGATCTTTAGTTTTATACATTTTATGATTTGTATTTGTTTGGTTTTTCTGCTAATTATAAGATGTTGCAATGAACTTGATTCCCCCTCCCCCAACTTTTCTTCCCGGCGTTCGAAACCGGGCAGTTCCCGGTGTTCACCCAGCCTCTAGGAAATGGGTACCAGAGTTAACACTCTGGGGTAAATAAGGAACGTCGCTGCAGCTACGGAGTTTCATGTGGACGGCGACACAGGCGGACAGTTTCCTATGAACTGTCCGTATTGGTGGCAGAGCACTTATGGTTTATAACTGTGTGCAATGATGCTGGTTCACATCTTTCGACTTTACCTTTACTTTTTTATGTACATTTAAAGAAAGTAAACACAACACAGGCAGTGATAATCAAGTGCGGGAGAACTCACACCACTCAGCCACCTGTTTGAACTCATACCACTCAACCACCAAGAAACAAAGCCCCAATGCTTAAAACAATCAAGGCAACAGAACATCCTACACACAATCTCACCTGGCAGCTGGTAGCCCTTCAGCAGCACCATATGCCGTGGGTCGACGGCGTAGTGTGCTTGTGGATGGCTATAGAAGCTGTCCCCAGCACAAGCCTGCGGGCACACAGACATATATGATGTCATTTGCAATGTAATGTCAGAGGAGAAAAACAAAATGTTTATCACTGAGAAATGTTATCAAAGGAAGAAGATGGAGATGGCTTGGATTTGTTTACACTACGCCTCATGGCATTCTCACACGGATAGTTCTCTAATGGATTGCAGATGCTAAAAGGAGACGTGAACAACCTAAGAAAACCTAGAGAAGATTAAAAGAAAAAAACATTTAATGCTGAATTAAGAATCAACATCATATCACTCAGGACACTCCCATAAGTGCTCCATCTCCATCTCCAGCAGCAAGAGTTCCAATTCTGATGGTACTTGTAACTGTCTGACTGTAGATCTGTATAGCCTTTCCCCTGAGTGCTGAGTGTCAACCAGATCGCCTGATAACTCCACCCAACGCCATTCTCCTTAGACCGTAATGATCTATTTGTGCCTCCTCACAGTTTACTGACTCCCAAAGGGGCCTCACAACATCTGGTAATTTTAATTTCAGCTTCATAGCAAATGGGTCACCCCATCTTTGCTCCGCTCCTGTGCCAACGAAAAACACACAGAATGTTTATCACAGTCCCTTGTGGAAAGACAGACAAACTGCTGTCTCAGCAAATCTAGCATACACTCGCATTAAAAGCATATGGTAGCCATCCGAAGAGCTAACACAAACAGTCTGACGTTAGAAATGCAGTTCATCATTGATGGTAGCAGAAGTCACCAAAAGATCAGCAGTTGCACACGCGATCAATTTTAATCAAATGATGGCCCCACCAATATTGCGACAACCGGCATCGCGCCATTTTCTGAATCTACAAATCACACCACCACCTTGGTGAGACGAAAAACATTTGAAATGAAATCCGCAGCTCAGAGTGTCACGCCATGCACTCAACTCAGAAGCTGGGTAACGAAACTATATACTTCCAGTCTACAAATGGAGCAAAAAAGCAACGGCTACAGTCTGGCAGAAGCAAAAAAAAAATTTTGCCTCGGCTCAAAACACCTAGCTTGTCATACATCGATTCACCACCAAATGGTGCAAAACCGGCCAGTCTAACTGCTGCTTGTCACTGGCATGGCCATGCTTGCTACCCTAACTCTCAGAATGTTTTGTGAGTCAATTATCAGTACGATAACAGAAAGAGAAATAAAGGAATATAAAATGACATAGGATCTCAAGGGCAGAAAAGGAGTAGATTTACAGCAAAGGAGGCCACTTGTGAATGTCTCAACAGTGACACACACAAAAGATACAGAAGATGGAAGAGTAAAATGTAAGGGACTAGTAGCAGTGCATGAGGAGCAGCTGGCTGTCAGGTTAAGCATACATAACTCAGGAGCAGCTGGCTGTCAGGTTAAGCATACATAACTCTCATTTTAGACATTCAGGTTAAAAGGCGATACATTTTTACCGAAGTGTGGAGGGCGATTTTGTTATAAAGTAATGCTCGTCGACATGTTCACAAATTGTGAAGGAAGCATTTTCATGGAAGAAGTGGGAAATTCTGCCACAACCTGCCTATAGTCCTGATTGGTCACCATGTGTTTTGTTTCTGGGACCTCTTTTAAAAAAAAAGCTCTCAATGTAGTGATTTCACACAGACACAATATCTGTAATAAACATGGTATAACACTTGGTTCAGTGAGGAACCAGTTTTTTTTTTTTTTTTGGGTGGCATTAGCCGCCTAACTGAGCAATGGTATGCTTGCCTGAATGCCTATAGCATATTTGTCTGACCAACTCATAGTGGACAATTCCTTCAAAATGAATGCTTTGTTTAGTTCTGCCACATCAGTTGATGCTTGTTTCATACTACTGTGATAACGCTGGTGGAAGAGGTTGGAAATAAAGGCCCCTTATATAAACATGAAGAGCACACTTACTTCATTAAACAACTTCTGTAATGCTGGAATCTTCCGCGGAGAAATGATGGACAGGTTGACCCCACGCTGCCAAAGACAAATATATTTACAGAAATGACAAATATCACGATAAAAATGACAAACATAAGAAGACAGATAAATACAACCAGAAGTGTGATAAACTCAATATGGACAATTATAAATATAACAATAAAAAAAACAAAAGTATAAGAAAGATGACAAAAACGAGAGAAGCAATAAACACATCAAGAAAATGTGTACACACAACAAGAAAATGTGTACACATGATTAGAAAGATGACAAACAACAGAAAAAAATTTCCGACACGAAAGACGATAATACAATTCAAAAATGGATAAACAATAAGAACAAATATTTATAAAGAACACAACAACAGCTAATGTGTGCTATCTACATCAACTTTCAGGTATCCGAAACCATAAAAAAAGTGTCACACATAGCATGACCTCCGTCCTCCGCATCTCCAGCGATGATCCTTAGAGTTTCCGTGAGCTGAACGGCACCACTGTAAAATAAACCCATGACCTTTACAGCGTGAGACAAAATGGCTTGACCACTTTTTCTATGAAGACCCCCCCCCCCCTGTATGTATATATGTATGTACACACACACACATATACATATATTAGGAAAGTGGGATGACATTTATGAGAATGTGAGATTATATATGTGAAGAGGGCATTTGTGGCTTATGTGAATTCTTTCTGACACAAGGTGCGGACAGGTAAAAGTAATCTTCCTTGCCATAGAAAGAGATGATGGTGGATCTTTGGGAATTTGAACAGACCACCATGGTCTGGAGAGAATGGTGCAGCAAAGAGTGACAAGGGAATTTGACTGACCCACAACATCCAGAGGAAAGAAAAGTGGACACACAATCAAATTGAATTTTAAGTTATCTTCAAAGCAATCCGGATACTTCCATAGATGCTCAGATTCCCCCTTCAACATATTCATTGTTAATAGCGCCAGTAATCTTCTGGTTAACAAGAATTCTTGCAGTTCAGTGTACCTCTCATGCTTGGCTGTGCTCATCTTTACTCCCAATTCTTGTATTCTTAGCAGTGATGCGGACACACTCCTACCAAAATCCTCGAATCGTCTATCTCTCCAAGGGCATTAACAATGTCAGGATGATCCATAGGCTGGCCATCTGCAACTAAAACAGAACCTGCCAATCTATTATCTTTTTCATAACCAACAACACCTCCATATCCTTAGACAAAGATTATTGTAACTGCATGCACAGGGGAGTTTCACAATGACTCAATCCACTATCTGCGTACAGAGCTGGCCTCTACCCGCTGGATCATGCTCACAGAATCACTCAGCACACACACATGGGAATAGTCCTGTGATTCCAGCCACATACAAGCTTGTATCACCCCCATCACCCTGCAGCTGGTAGTCACAGAAAAGGCACAGCTGGCTTCCTGGACTGTTGTGCCTGCACAAGCCCATAATCAAACTGTTATTGACATCACCAGCACTCGAATTCAGCAATAATTGTTAAAGATAGTAAATAAGCACTCATAGGAATGTTGCAAGTGTTGTAATATCAGTCCTCACTTATGGGAATGTCGCAAGTGCTGTGATATCAGTTCTCACTTATAGGAGTGTCGCAAGTGCTGTGACATCAAGTCCTCACTCATGGGAGTGTCGCAAGTGCTGTGATATCAGTTCTCACTCATGGAAATGTTGCAAGTGCTGTGACATCAGTCCTCACTCATGGGAGTGTCGAAAGTGCTGTGACATCAGTCCTCACTCATGGGAATGATGCAATTGCTGTGATATCAGTCCTCACTCATGGTAATGTTGCAAGTGCTGTGACATCAGTCCTCACTCATGGGAATGATGCAATTGCTGTGATATCAGTCCTCACTCATGGTAATGTTGCAAGTGCTGTGATATCAGTTCTCACTTATTGGAATGTTGCAAGTGCTGTGCTATCAATCTTCACTCATGGGAATGTCGCAAGTGTTGTGATATCAATCTTCACTCATGGGAATGTTGCAAGTGTTGTGATATCACTCCTCACATATTGAAATGTTGCAAGTGCTGTGATATCAGTCTTCACTCATGGGAATGTTGCAAGTGTTGTGATATCAATCTTCACTCATGGGAATGTTGCAAGTGTTGTGATATCACTCCTCACATATTGAAATGTTGCAAGTGCTGTGATATCAATCTTCACTCATGGGAATGTCGCAAGTGTTGTGATATCAATCTTCACTCATGGGAATGTCGCAAGTGTTGTGATATCAGTCCTCACTTATGGAAATGTTGCAAGTGCTGTGATATCAGTCCTCACTTGTGGGAGTGTCGCAAGTGCTGTGATATCAGTCCTCACTTATGGGAATGTCGCAAATGTTGTGATATCAGTTCTCACCACTTGTGGGAGTGTCGCAAGTGCTGTGATATCAGTCCTCACTTATGGGAATGTCGCAAATGTTGTGATATCAGTTCTCACGTATGGGAGTGTCCAGAGTGCTGTGATATCAGTTCTCACCACTTGTGGGAGTGTCGCAAGTGCTGTGATATCAGTCCTCACTTATGGGAATGTCGCAAATGTTGTGATATCAGTTCTCACGTATGGGAGTGTCCAGAGTGCTGTGATGTCAATTCTCAATGTAACATTCTTTATCTGGAGACCTAACTAAGGATGACGGCTTACCTTTCCCATCATGCTGGCCAGCTGCTCGCTGTTGTAGCCCCTATAATCCTGGCTCTCCTCGGCTGTGATGTGGTATGGAGGTGAGTTACAGATCAGGATGCAGTGACGTTGCGTAGGTTTGCTACAGAAATCAAAGAGAATGTTATCTTTACCATGCCACCTGATATAACCCAACATTTCATTCCTCCTCTTTACCTTTACCGGTTGAAAACTCTGGTAGAAAGTTTTCGTTGTCCGTCCACCTCTGGAATATGGTCTTGTTCCAGAACTTGAATTTTGCGTGCATATTCGTTTTACAGATCTGGCGTATTTCTATGCAGACTATTGGTTCCTTGTCTCTCAGGCAGATGTGCTCTAATTCTGATGGAAACACCTCTAATTATTTGATGTTTATGATATGCTTGTTGGGGGGGGGGTCAATTCTTTTCCCCTCAAAATGGAGCCCGGACACCTACAGGGGAATGCTGCATTCAACCTAAGCGATCAGAGTCCTATGGTATAGCTGCTAGACACTCACCTGTGGATCTAAAGGCTGTGAATTCAAATCCGAATTGAGCCATACGTTTTTTTAAAAATAACCTTGGCTTCCAGGTCACCTTAACCTTAAATTGGTACCAGGTAAAGTATAGAGAAGTAAAGGTGGCTGGCACGATGCTGAACAAATCACATGCCTAGTGCTGTTTGGTCTATAAAATAAAGGTCTGGCAAAAAATCCAAGCTGAATACATCAGGAATGAATGGATTGCAACACTGAGCACTTTACCAATGGCTGCCCTAACCCTTATCTTTGTTCCAGGTTATGCAGGTGCTCAAGGAAACTAGCGTGCAGACTATCTTGCTGACACTGCGGTTGCTATGGCTGATCCAGTACTGGACTTAGAGATGTTATCAATGCCATGCACTGCACTTGCCGTACTGAGGAGCACGCCAAAAGACATGACTCCGAATCGCTGACTAGACTGATGGACATGGGGGTGCAGACTGGAGCTGCAAGAAATGAATATTTCACTAAGGGGACAAGACGTTGTCATTAACCAACACAGAACAGGGGGTCATCAGTTGTTTTACACTTGTGGAGCTTTTCAGGAGGAGATCGGAACATCTGTGGATCTGTCCGGAGTGCTGTGATGATAATCCTTTCTAATCACTAATCAAGGTCTGGCACTAGTTGCTTGAAGGAACAGAAAAGAGCCCGTGATTTCACTACAAAATCTATAACCTTGAAATAACTAACAGCAACATGAACTATGAACAGAAAACTCAGCAGACAGAAAAAAAGAAGATGCACATGAATGTAACAGAAATATCAACCAGAGCAAAGAGTCCCTTGTGTGGGTTCAAAGGCCCCAAAATGCAGAAAACAAGAATAGACTCACTGCCCCCCCTCCCCCACCACCACCCAACAAGCATGCTATGAAAAGCATTTCCTTCATAGCTGGAGTGCATCTGCCTGAGAGGAGAGGAACCAACAGTCTGCATATAAATAAGCCAGATTTGTAAAACAGATGTGCAAAGAAAAGTTCTGTTAACAAGACCAAAGTCCAGAAGTGGACCCCCAACCAGAACTTTCCATGGAAATTTACAGCCGGTAAATAAAGAGCAGAATGGAGCCAACTGTTCTGAACATTTCTACACAACATTCTTGTTGTGGGTAATGAGTCTACTGTTTTTGTTCTTCAAATTTGGGTCCCTGGAACATACACTAGGACCTGATCAGTAATTATGGTGATCTCGTAAGGTAATGAACCATGACTACCAACCAACACTTACTGGCATGGCACATGATGACCAAAAAAAAAAAAAACATGACACTTCTACTTTTCTTTACTCTTGGAATGTCTCACTGCATCAGGGCAGGAAGAGATATCTGGAACGGGCCCTTTTGATCGAGTCGTATGTAGTACTTTTCAGTGTCTCTATCAGACTGTGGTCCATCTTCTGCATGGTCGACCTATAGATCTCTTACCATACAAGTTTTGTAAAGCAATCAATCAGGTGCGGTCTCCACAATGAAGGTTGCCTGCAACAGTTCTCCAACAAGCTCTATATCTTGTCTTGGCTGTACACTCTCTCGGAATATCAGTTTGTCCACACCCTGATCTTACCCTCCAGAAAGGTTTTTAAAAGAGTGTTATGTCTTTTAGTGTGGCAGAAATATTTCACTTGTCTCTAATTTGTTATATTTATCTGAGAAGGCTAGTGAGCTCTCCCTAAGTATGAGAGTCAACTGGGTAACCAACAATCCTAGGCAGAGGTGAAATGAAACAGGTGAAACAACACAAGTGTCAAAAGCCTCATGTGGGTTCCATGGGCCCCATTGTGAGGAAAACAAGAATAGACCTACTGCCTCTGCAACAAGCATGTCACAAGAGTAGATTAATTGGGATCATCCTTCGAGAGGCAAGGAACCACAAGTCTGCATACAAATAAGCCAGATCTGTGAAACGGATATGCATGCTGCACTCAGGTTCTGGAACAAGACTAAAGTCTGGAGGTGGATAAACACAGTAAGCTTTCCGCTGGAGTTTACAGCCGGCAACGCCAAGAAGAAAAGTGTCACAGGTAGACACAGTACCTACCCAGAGTATCGCAGCTGTTTGATCTCATCCAGACACTGCAAGGCTGTACTCAGTCCTTCAGAGAGATGGCTGCAGCTCTGCCCTGCTCCACCGATGAACCTGGATATAAGCAGAATAAGATCTGTCAGATCTTAACCTGAACCAAACTCTAAACCTATCCCTTTCTCTTCTTGTGCACTGACCTTTAAAAAGGCAGTTTGTACGTTGAGTTGTGATTTACAGCCAGACTGTGATATCTGTGCCATTCAGATCAACACACCCGATTACAGTCAACCCTTTAAAAGTTGCTTTTTTATTAAATGCTTAAGGGGCAGGGGATCTATTATCGTCTCCACCAAATGGGGTCCCAGAATCCACACAGGGAGACTACTCAAAGTTAAAGTCCACAAGATCGACTTCACTTCACCGGGTGTTATCCAATATGGCTTGGTCTTTCTCCGCAGAAAGCCCTGCCGAGAGCATCGCTCAAAGCACAAACTCCACAGCTCTGTTGACGATTCCCAGGTATCTCCTTAAAAACTGTACTCGTGAACAATGCAGCTGTGAAACCACACAACACTAGAAACTAAGAAGGTTAACAGCTTGACTAATTTACCATGAAGACCCCCCCCCCACAACACTAGAAACTACAGTAGCAACAAGATCTGAGTGAGTGTTCAACTAGTTTTCTCTTCTCTGACAACTACATCTCATGTGAAATTTATCTCCAAGATCAAGTTACCAAGTAAGGCCGCAGTGATAGCAATGAAGAGCCAACAGACAATGCTGTAACATACACAGTGGCAGCCATAGAGAATGCTTCCAGCGTTGAAAATAACAAAACATGACAACCCTAGAACATCCCATGGAAACTGCCACGGCATGAATGGGAGCGGATGCAAAATCTTGCCCGGAGCAGATGCGGTGATGTTTGTGATATGTACTGACATGGAATCTCACGACAAACCGCAGATAGTGAATGCAACAGCACCCCTTGCAACATGACAAGACTTACTCAAGATTGTCAAAAGCCTTGATAAGCTCATAAATGCTGGTTGTTGGATAGCTACAATCCGATGTTGGTTCTGGTGCTGAGTCCCCGGCGGTGTAGGTGACTAGACAGTACAAGGTGCAGTTGTACTGTGGACAGAGTTGACAAAGGTATGTCACTGACAGATTTCTACCATTCTGTACCTAATCTCTATCTGTTCCTACCATTGTTTACTTAATCTCTATCTGTTCCTACCATTGTTTACTTAATCTCTATCTGTTCCTACCATTCTTTACTTAATCTCTATCTGTTACTACCATTCTTTACTTAATCTCTATCTGTTCCTACCATTCTTTACTTAATCTCTATCTGTTACTACCATTCTTTATTTAATCTCTGTTCCCATAATTCTTTACTGAATCTCTGTCTGTCCTACCATTCTTTACTTAACCTCTCTCTGTTCCTACAATTCTTTACTGAATCTCTATCTGTTCCTACCATTATTTACTTAATCTCTCTCTGTCCCTACAATGCTTTACTGAATCTGTTTCTCCTATCATTCTTTCCTAAATCTCTGTTCCTATCCATTATTTACTTAATCTCTATCTGTTCCTATCATTTTTTAAACTGAATCTCTATCTGTTCCTATCATTTTTTTTTTACTTAATCTCCATCTGTTCTTATCATTCTTTACTTAATCTCTATCTGTTCCTATCATTCTTTACTTAATCTCTATTTATACCTATCACTGTTTAATCTTTATCTGTTCCTACCATTCTTTACCTAATCTCTATCTGTTCCTACCATTTCTTGCTTAATTGCTATCTGTTCCTAACATTCTTTTCTTAATCTCTATCTGTTCCCATCATTCTTTTCTTAATCTCTATCTGTTCCCATCATTCTTTACTTAATCTTTATCATCTGTTCCCATCATTCTTTACTTAATCTCTATTTATACCTATCACTGTTTACTTAATCTTAATCTGTTCCTACCATTCTTTACTTAATCTCTACTGTTCTTACCATTTCTTGCTTAATTGCTATCTGTTCCTATTATTTTTTACTTAATCTCTATCTGTTCCTATCATTCTTTACTTAATCTCTGTTCCTATCATTCTATACTTGATCCCTATCTATTCCTACCATTCTTTACTTAATCTTTAGCTGCTCATACCAGTCATCATATAATCCTATCATTCTTTATATTCCCACCAATCTTTACCCAATCTCTTTTGCCTCCACTTTATACTCAGTCTCTTTTTACTTCTACTAATCTTTATTAATCTCCTTACACTATCAGTTCCAACTCACTGTTATTCTGTACACAATCTTTATCTGTTCCTACCTATCCTATTCTATGTAATCTCTACATGTTCCCATCCACTCTTCATTCTTTACTAAATCCAATGTTCTCTCTGTTCTGAATTCATTCTTACTGTTCATTCCATTATATCTCTACTTACATCATGTCCAGTATCAATAGGGCTAGGTGGACCACCGTTGAAATATCTGAAAAACACAATATATTTTCATTAAAACATTTGGCGGCTTTCCTCCGAACTTCGTCTTAATATTATGCGGTTATAAAATATCCTTACAGGGCTCAGGCATATGTAAAATGCGGACTTGCCAAGGAACAAATCGCGGCAAAACTAGAATTACTTGACAATTTCAAGAGACGCAACATTGTAGACGATACTAGCAGACGATAAAAGCGACCGTTGACTATTTCGAGCGTTTCTGCAGACGATACTAGCAGACAATAATAGCGACCATTGACAATTTCGAGACATTACAGACGATGAAAGTGATATGGCGGGTAGACCACGCTCTCCCACGCAGATTAGCAATACTGTTCGTCCAATTGAGGATTTAGCAGCGGTAGATGTCAGACTTGCCGACCTGTATTCTCACACTTTTCGGCATGCGCAAAACGCGATTAAACTCACCGCCAAGCGTATCTCCTGCACCGTGGATGGGGGGATAAACTAGGTGCCTGGGACTCACGTGCAAATTAATTGGAGGAAGTTGCAGGAGATAAGGTAGCTGCTGCTCGTGAGTCCCAGCCATCTAGTTTAGCTCCCATCCGTGCGGCGCGCAGCGGTGCGGGGGATACGGTCGGCGGTGTGGCACAGTCCCAGGTCCGCAAGTACCATATTGCTGAGACCCTGTTAGAGCATTTGTTTCGTTACACGGAGCCGGCATATTTTTAATAGAACTGTGCCCCGTAAGGATATTCTATGGCCTCCATAATATTAGGACGAAGTTCGGAGGAGAGCCCATTTGGCATTACTGCATTACATTACATTATTTCAAACACAATTACTTAGGACAACCCACTTCCCTCATTTTTAATATTATACACTGACACTTGTTTTTAAATCATTTCTTTATTAATTTACTGTTTTGAGAGAGAGAGAGAGAGAGAGAGAGAGAGAGAGAGAGAGAGAGAGAGAGAGAGAGAGAGAGAGAGAGAGAGAGAGAGAACACCAACACTAGTATTATTTATTAGCAATATCTGAATATCAGCAAATATTCATTTAAACTGAATTACTCAAATTACTGAATAAAATAATCATTTAAATATTAATAAACGTTCCTAAAATTATTATCATTCGAAATATCAGCCGTCTGTAGTGTTAAATCTGACATAGGCTGCAATAAATGTGTCACATGTAAACAAACATCTATTCTAACAACTCACTCTAGTGTCGGCAGTAGATAACTGGTCTTCAATTCATCCAAATAAGGAACCAAATTTGCTGTGTTTTCCACAACAATGACAACATCGTAAACTTGATCCTCATCTTGTTGCGGCTGGTTCGTCGTTCCTATCATCTTCTCTGCTGTCACAAAAAAACTGTGACTGAAATTTAAGTATAACAAGTTTCTACTTCTAATATAAATTGAAAATCTGAGCTTCTGTCTTTACATCTACATTAAATTAACATAAGAAAACAAAACTCTGACACAAACTTCTATTTTATTTTTAACGCAGACGACGGAAGCCGACTTCCGGTAGCCAGGTACGGTTCGAGTTTGTCTTCCTCTGCTATTGTTGCTCTTTTAATGCAAATGCAGATGGCAATCATTTTTTTTTTTAAAAATTATAATAAACCGATACACAAGAACTGATCTGCCTGTAAGCAGACGTCGAAATCTATAGTTATCATGGGAATCGAACCGAGCACCTCCAGGTGACGACGGCGCCTCGCTGTAGAAACAAGCATGCTATCACACAAGAACACACGATACCCCTAAACCAACTGTTCATTTGAAGATCATCTTCATCGCACATTTTTTTATTTTTTTTTAGATTTTTTTTTTTTACGTATCCAGAAACCATGAGTTGTAAACCATTTGGCTCGGTACTATGGATATCGCAACCCTATAATTGATTCCATTATAGGTACCGTTAATCTGGGAGAAATGTGGCTTTTCTGCCTACCCCCGGGAGTGAACCCGGACCACAAGGAGTTCGTCACCCGGCCGCCGCACATCGGACATGACCATATGTGTTCCGATCTCCTCCTGAGTCTTACTCTAAATGCTCTAAGGCTAACAACTCTCCCTTCGTTCTCGATTATGTACCGTAAGGTGGCTCCGTGTCTCGTTGTTCCAATTCGTACAGGCAGGGTATGCAGTCTACACACATGTTGTAACAGTGACTGACCCACAAAGTATATTGAGAAAGGTGAAGACATGTATGCTCAGTGCAGAATAGCAAGAATCGCTTCAGAGGTTTCCGGCAGATAACGTCTTTTGTATATTTTCTGCAGGCAATGTCGGTGTGTTAGAAAAAGAAGAGGCAGATAGACTGGCTGTGGTTCTGCACCTTTTGATGGTAAACTGATGAATGACAAGCTAGATGTTGTAAGGGCCCTTTGAAAAGAGTAAACAGTGCGCGGCCACACACAGAGCATCACAGTCATGAAGACGGGGTGCGCAGCGCTAACGTAAATGTACCGAGTGTTATGATATCGATTCTTACCTCATAACTGTCTCGGACAGCAGAACCTGATATTTTCCTTGGAAAGACCAAGAAAAGTTTGGTGCAAATAAAATAAAAAAAATAATAACAGAGACAAAAGATAGAATAGAGCGTTTTGGGGAAAGTTTTTATCAACTGCTAAAACAAAAACAAGAGGAATCCCAAGCCAGCCCCGAAAAGATGAAGTCTGTCAGCACGATAGACTCATTGTCTGCATTCACTGTCTCTACCTGGGTCTGTCGGAATACCCTAGTGGTGGACATATGTTTATCTGTATTATGCCTGAGTGATACATATAAATAAAATACGAAAAAAGTAATCAGAAAAAAAAAAAAAAGAGAGAGAGAGAGAGAAAGCCATACCAATCAAGACAGAGTATGAGACTGATCAATAAAATTTAAAAAATACAATAGCAAAAAGGGAAAACATAATAAAGAATAACAGGGGGGAAAAGGCTACACCATTCAAAAGAATAAATTACGGAACAAAGTAGACAGTAAACGAACTAATTAGTGCAGCAAGAAAGGGAAAAAAAGTGAAATGAAGAAAGAAAAGGGTTTATTACTGTAAAAAAAAAAATTTTTTTAAGTAATTAAATGTTATTTGATGGATGTAGGATTTTACCCCTGTATTTTTGCACCTTCGCGTTAGAATGACAGTTTCCACGCTTTTTATTTTCTTTATTTATCTATAGCCAGTTTGTACTAGGTAAATGTTTTTTATTTTTACTTTTATAATCGTGTTGATTGATCATGCCTTCATGGATAAAAGTAAAGTAAAGGACCCTTTTCCACGCTTTTAGACTACTGGACATATAAGGCTAAACCTTTATATTATGTATAGACCAACCGGCACTCGGTGGCTGATGTGGTCAACTTTACTTACAGGACGGTACACGGTACCCATTTGAGGCTGGATCAGGCTGGGAGCCAAAGTCGTTTTTGAAAAAAGTTCGGCTCCGTCAGGATCTGAACCTACGACCTTCCAAACCACAGGCGAGCTTCTAGCCGGTCCACCACGACAGCTCCCCTTCATCAGTAAACGAAACGAATGATGCAATTACATACAAGGATACATATAATGACTTAGCTGTACGGGGGAGGATGCCAAACAAGTCTCCATTACGGCTTGAACAGCAAAGGCTACAGGCTCATACATCGTCGAAAGGGTAGGATTCTGGGCTGTAAGTGATCCAAGGAGGTGTGACGCAGGTGATTGATTGATGCGATTGATTGTACCCCCACATGTGATTGATTAATGCGATTGATTGTACCCCCACTGACAGTCAGGGAATTTTGTGTGTGTGTGGGGGCGGGGAGGGTAAGTCCTTGCACGTTGCAGATAAGATGTTTACAAATGGTGTCAGCACTTTGGATCGCAGACTGTGGAAAGGCCTGATCGCCTACGCCAGTCGGCAAGGCACTCGATGGTGATATCACCAATAGCACTTATATGGGAAGCAAATGGATTGGGGACGTGCAGACGCCTGAAAGAAACCAAAAGACAAATGTTAGAAAAAAATGGAAGAACAGGCTACAGGTAGGTAAGAACAAAAAACAAACTACGAGCAGAAATCTCAAAGGATGGGGGAAAGCATGCACTAATACAAGCAAGTAACAGTTATCTTTCTACTATCTTTCTACTTCTTTCTATGAGTGCCGTTCACAATACTTTCTGTTACTTGATTAATTCATAATATTTAACGGCCTCAAATGGTTCCCCCCTCTGTTTATTTATAGGAATGACTAATACAAGCAAAGCGTTTCAACCAGCGACTCTTTATCGACGAACAAAACCGAAACTAATCACACGTGGCAATGTAAATGTGAAACAGGAAGCACGTTATAAGAGAATTTATGTACAGGTAGACTATTTTGCAGCGAAACATATAAAACAAAAACAAAAAAACAAAAAAAAATTAAATAACAGAGAAATAAGAGGGATAAAAAATGTTTGGTAAAAAAAAATTTTTATGTGTAATTTGATGCAGGCATGTTGTGATCACCCCCCCCCCTTTTCCGCCCCCACCTCACCCAATGCCTAAACGTATATTAAAAGTCAAAGGTATTTTTTAGGACAAGTACAGACATTCAAGTATCTAGGTACATGGATAACATCTGCAGGCAGATGTATCACAGAGATAAAGAACAGAATAGGACAGGCTAAAACTGTCTTTTATAAAATGAAGAACATGTACAATAATCCATGTTATTTGATGTTAGGAAAAGAATTTTCACATGCTATAAAGATCCCATTGTAACATACGGCTCTGAATTCCTGGACAGTTAATCAACAGACCCAAAAAAGAAAAAAAAATCTTGATGCCGCGGAGATGTCGCTTTATAGAAGAATCCTTACAATTCTTTGGACAGTTAAGAAGAGAAATCCAAATGTTTGAAAGAGGCGAATACTCGAAGACAACTTACTACAAACATCAGAAAGAGACAGTCATCATTTTTGTGTGGATCATATTATGAGAAGAGGGAAAATGGAACATATTGTGACTACTGAAAAGATTTGTGGGAAAAAAGAGACAGAGAAAGACAGAGTGAGAAGATTCTTGACAGTCTTTTGTCATGGCATGGAGGGGTTTCAACATACGAACGGATCCACGCAACTGCGGATCGCAGATTGTGGAAAGGCAAGATCGCTCACGCCAGTCGGCAAGGTACTTGATGATGACGATAATGTTGAAACTGAAGAATCGCGCATAGCACTGAAATGGGAAGCAAATGCACTCAGGAAGTTAAGACATTCCACAGAAACCACAAGACAAATGTTGGAACTATATGGAATAACAAACAGCAAGGCCTAGGTGATATATTAAGGCACCAAACGATGATCAAGATGATGGTGACTCTGTTGATGATAATGGAGACAGCAATTCTTCTTCTTCTTCTTTTTTCGTTCACTTGAAATCAATGATCTATATCTGCAATGATGTCTCTATCATGAACTTCACTATCTTTTGTAATTCACTCAGTGACCCGTACAGTGTGACGGACCGATGTCTCTCTTGGCCAAAAGTTTTGCGTTTCATTGCATGATGTTTAGACTAGATCTATTCGCAGATATGGACATATTTCCTATAGCGTTTGTGAGTGGCTTCCGGATTTTTACGCTGCACCTCGTGATTGGTTTCCTCCGACCTCATCACCTAATTTTAATTATTCTGGTAAGCTAGATCAACGTACTGGTATATAGGATTTTTGTAAACAAATCGAGACGTGGAAATTCCAGCGACCATTTTGTAATGATAGAAAACAAATTTGTTCTCTGAGAATCCGATGTTTTTTTCTGGCAAAGTCGGTTTGTTCACGTGATAAATGGCGGGAAGTAACCAGTGCACTGCAGAGAGCCATGTCACTTACAAATAAAGGAAGCAGACTCAGAGGTCAAACAGACAAGCGACAGATAGACCGAATATCCGAATCCGTATGTATCAGTATCTATGTAGCACAAACCTAGGCTAGCACTCGATGCTTCTTCAAAACCCGACGTTGAGAGGAAACATATGATAATAGAAGAAACAAGAACGGGGTAACAAGAACGTCAGATATAGCTTCCAGCAACGAACGAGAACATTCAGTACAGTGGGGAATACCTTGACACCTAAAAATAAACTGTGAGAGACCACAAAACAACACATTTTGGTAGATTATCTCCCCCTTCCCCCACCCATACCAGAAAAAATCACACACACATATAAACAAACACACACACACACACACACACACACACACACACACACATACATAAACACATACAAACGTACATTGGGATGCCCAGGCAAAGAGAGAGAGAAGAAGAAAAAGGATAGAGCATGGAGATAATAATTTAATGAGAG